GCGCAGCCTCACTTCTTTGGCCATAATTAAGAGGAAATGATGATGATAATGATAGATAATAATGGTTGATGGCAATGGGTTTCTCAGAGCAAGGAGAGAGGGAGACTTTGGACTGAGAGAGAAAAAAATATAAATTAGCAAAGAAAATATAGTAATACATAATAATAATAATAGAATAATAAAAATAATGATAATAATGATATAATAATAATAATAATAATAGTTAATAATAATAATAATAATAATAATAATAATAAATAATATAATAATAATAATAATAATATATAATAATAATAATAATAATAAAATATAATAATAATAATAATAAAATAGATTAATGAATAATAATGAAATAACAATAATGGATAATAATGAATAACATATAATGATAATAATAAATAACAATGATGATAATAATTGATTAACAATAATAATAATAAATAACAATAATGAAATAATGAAAAACAATAATGATAATAAATGAAAAACAATAATGATAATAATTAATAATGATAATAATAGAATAGAAATAGATAATGATCACAATGAATAATAATAATGATAATAAATAAACAGATAAATAGATAGATAAATAGCTATCGTGTATTTGCGTGATGTGAGAATTGAATATTCATCGATTTTAACTTTGTGTGAAGAGAATGACTGTATGAGCTCTATAGAAAACAAACAAACAAACAAAAAAGGATAAATAAGTTGATATTCATGTGTTGTACGTTTATATATATATATATATATATATATATATATAATATATATAATATATATATATATATATATACTATATATATATATATAATATATATATATATATTTATATATATCTATTCTTATCTTTCTCTCTCTCTCTCTCTTCTCGTCTCTTTTTTTTCTTTTTCTTTTCTTTCTTTCTTTTTATTTGACTGAAAATAAAATGGGCACTCACACAAATACAAAGAAAAAAGACGTGAAGTGACAAAAATTAGAATATGGAGAGAGAGAAAGAGAAAGACACAGGCAGACAGACAGACAGAGAAAGACTCAGACAAAACAAGTAGACAATCACAACACAAAAACAGGCAAACAAAGAAAAAAAAATACCCAGAGACGACAGAAAAAAAACACTAGCCCACAAACACAAACACAGACACACAAAACAAAACAAAAACGAAAAGCACAGAAAGAGAATAAGAGAAGGGACGAAAGGAGGAGAAATTAAAAAAAAGGGGTAATGAATGCATGACACAATACTATTAAGGTTCATGGAAATGCACGATGGGAAACATGACCGGAAATAGGCAATGGGCGGGTCGTATTTGGCGAATGGGGCGCGACGGGGACCCGCTCTCGCTGCTCTTTTCCTCCCGACCCGGGCTTCTGTTTAAGAAGAAGAAGAAGAGAAGAAGAAAAGAAGAAAAAGAAGAAGAGAAAGAAAAGAAGAAGAAGAAGAAAGGAAAAAGAAGGAGAAAAGGAAAAAGTATGATAATAATAATAAAAAAGAATAATAATGATAATGATGATAAGAGAAGAAGAAGAAGAAAAGAGAGGAAACGAAGAAGAAGATGGACTTCGCTCTCGCTGCGTGTTCCTCCCGACCCCGGGGCTTCTGTTCAAAGGAAGAGAAGAAGAAGAAGAAGAAAAGGAAAAGAAGATGGAAAGGGAAGGGAAAAGAAGAAGAAAAGGAACTCCCCCTCTCGCTGCGTGTTCCTCCCGACCCCGGGATTCTGTTCAAAGGAAGAGGAAGAGTGGAAGAAGAAAAAAGAAGAAGAGGAAGAGAAAGAAAAGAAGAAGAAGAAAAGGAAGAAAGAAAAGAGGATGAAAATGACAATTGATAATAATAATGATAATAATAATAATAATAATAATAATAATAATAATAAAAAGAAATAATGATAATAACAATAATGATAATGATAATGATAAGAAGAAGAAAAAGAAGAAGAAGGACTTCGCTCTCGCTGCGTGTTCCTCCCGACCCCGGGCTTCTGTTCAAAGCAAGATGAAGAAGAAGAAAAGAGAAGAAGAAAAGAAAAAAAAAATAATAAGAAGAAAGAATGATAATGATAATGATGATGATAAGAAGAAGAAGAAGAAGAAGAGAAGGAAATAAAGAAAAAGAAGAAGATGGACTTCGCTCTCGCTTCGGTTCTTCCTCCCGAACCCGGGGCTTCTGCAAAGGAAAAGAAAGAGGAAGAAAGAAGAAGAAGTAAGATAAAGAAGAAGAGAGGAAGAAGAGAAAGAAAAGAAGAAGAGGAAGAACGAACAACCTGAGGATGAAAATGACAATGATAATAATAGTAATGATTAATAATCAGAAGAAGAAGAAGAAGGAAATGATAATAATGATATAATAATAATATGATAATGATAATAATAATAATATAATAATAATAATAAAATAATAATAATAATAATAAGAAAAATAATAATAAATGATAATAATAATATTAATAAATATTAATCATAATGAATAAGAAAGAAGAAGAAAAGAAGAAGAAGGACTGCGCTTCTGCTCCTCCCGACCCCGGGCTTCTGTTCAAAGGAAGAAGAAGAAAGAAGATGAATATAACAATGATAATGATGATAATAATAATAATAATATGAAGAAGAAGAGGAAAAAAATGAAGAAGAAAAGGAAAAAAAAAAGGAAGAGTAGAAGATGAGGAAGAAAAGACGAAGGAAAGAAAAGAAGAAAGTAGAAGAAGAAGAAAGTAGAAAGAAGAAGAAGAAAAAGAAACAAAAACAAGAAAAAGAA